CCCAATATACACTGAAAAATGCCAAGTCATGACCCTGTGAACGACTTAGTCTTTATTTGAAATATATAAATGCTCAGAGGTATGGAGTAAAGAACGGATTCCTGGAAGATGTGCTATTTTAATCAGGCTTTGAAGATTAGCATCTCATAGAATTATTATTTTACCAAAATATCCAACTATCAGAGAAGCAGTTTCCACTAACTCCTTACAAGTCAATCTTTATTACAAGTGAATTCCCACAAACTCTGGGAGTTTATCTAAACTACTACAGTTGATCCTGATCTCTTAATAATAAATAACCAGTTTTTTTTTTTTAATTTTTCTGATTATTTCTTTTTGAAGGAGAGCGAGTCAGAGCATGAGCAGGGGAGGAGCAGAGAGAAAGGGAGACACAGAGTCCCAGTTGTAAGTTGCCCTCGGTGGTTGCTAACACACTGCATTCCTCATGGGGCACCTGGGTGGCTCCGTCGGTTAAGAATCCGACAGCTCAGGTCTTGATCTCACAGTTCCTGAATTCGAGTCCCACATGGAGTGAGCTCGAGCCCTGCTTTGGGTGAACTTGAGCCCTGCTTCAGGTAAAACATGAGCTGGGTGAGCCCACTTCTCTCTCTCGCTCTTTCTCTCGCTGTCTCTCGCTCTCTGCCCCTTGTGGGATTCTCTCCCTCTGCCTCTCTCTCTGCCCATCGCTTACGCCCTCTCTCTCTCTCGAAACAAACCAACCAACAAACAAAACACTGCCTTCCTCCTGCTCTCGCCTGCTGGCACCGCACTGGCATGTTAAACATGACAAGTTACATTGAGGCTGGGGATGGTCAGGTGTAAGAGCATCCCCACTTTTCAAGTTAATATTCCCCCTTAAGTCAGAAGTGGATCCACCACACTGCACTACGGTTATAGTAGTTGAACCATTTAAAATAGTAGTTTGGTTTCACATGGAAACCGTTACTAAGACAAACCTTCTTGTAGAATGAAGTTCCAAGAACATTAAATCATCAGAAATTGTTTCAGCAGCTGGTTAAAGCTGAGTGTACATAATATAAGACATCTGGTTGTCTGTGCATTTTCAGTTCATTTAAAAAAGTATAAACACATTAAAACACCGAAATGTTTGATATATTGCAACACTGTCTGCTTGCTCCTCAAGGGTGTTTAAGTGGCTGGTCTATTCATTGCATTCAAGGCTTATTTGCCAGCTAAAGAGATTTATTTATATTTCCATCCACCCTAACTTCACCAAGACATTTTATTAACAAAGGAGGAAAAAAAAAAAAAGAATGTACTCACTGAGGATATATCTTAAATTGCTGGTATTCGATAATGACATATGCATAATAGAGATGAAACTTTTAAAAATTAAGTCAAGGAGCACCTGGGTGGCTCAGTCGGTTAAGCGTCCGACTCTTGGTTTCGGCCCACGTCATGATCTGATAGTTCATGAGATCGAGCCCCGCATAGGGCTCTGTGCTGACAGTGAGAAGCCTGCTTAAGATTCTCTCTCTCCCTCTCTCTCTGCCCCTCCCCTGCTCATGCTCGCTTGCTCTCTCTCTCTCTCCCTCTCTCAAAATACATTTTAAAAAAACATTGAAAAAAACTAAGAACACACGAAATATCGCACGTGCTAGGACAAGTAGATAGTAGACGATACAGGTGTTCCCCTTCCCACGTTTGACCATATGTAACAGAAACCTGACCACGGTGGCTTAACCAAAATAAGTGTTTATTTTTGTCACTTCAGAAGAAATCCTAAGATAAGCCACCCAGGGCTGGTGTAATAGTTCCATAGTAACATTCATATCCCAGGCTCCTGGGACACTATTCTTCGCAGGTGGCACTCACCATAATGGTTTCAGGACGACCCAAGCACCGCCTCCGCATCCCAGGGAGGGAGAGATGGGTAACGGACAAGCTGAAGGCCTGCCCCCCTCCCCCCCCCAAAACAATACTGGCCATCTGTTAGAAAAAGGGCAAGAAGGGCCATCAGAAGTGCAAGGAACTGTGTCGCTCACAGAGTTCAACTTCCACAGGACCTTGTCCCCTGTACCCTTCCCCACCCGGCGATTCCTCAGTTGCCTCAGCCCCACCTTCCAAGCTGCACATCATCAGACCAAGTCCCGACAGGGTTTGGTAGTTGTCGTTTCTAAATCCAGATTACAATTCTGGATGCTGGACCTGTGCACAACAGAGGCCGGGAACCCGTTTTCTCACAAACACCTGGTCCTTCCTGTTTGGGCCACAGGCAAGCAGCACACAGGTCCAATGATATCACCACGTTAACTGAGATTTTGTCCTCATCAATCTCAAAATCTTTGTCTTTATTTAAAAAATAATTCCAGGGCGCCTGGGTGGTGCAGTCGGTTAAGCGTCCGACTTCAGCCAGGTCACGATCTCGCGGTCCGTGAGTTCGAGCCCCGTGTCAGGCTCTGGGCTGATGGCTCAGAGCCTGGAGCCTGTTTCCGATTCTGTGTCTCCCTCTCTCTCTGCCCCTCCCCCGTTCATGCTCTGTCTCTCTCTGTCCCAAAAATAAATAAACGTGGAAAAAAAAAATTTTTTTGTTTTTAAAAAATAAAAAATAATTCCTGGGGCGCACCTGGGTGGCTCACTTGGCTAAGTGTCTGACTCTTGATTTGGGCTCAGGTCATGATCTCACGGTTGTGAGACTGAGCCCTGTATAGGGCTCTGCACTGGGCATAGAGCCTGCTTAAGATTCTCCCTGTCTCTCCCTCTGCCCCTCCCCTATTTGAGCGGTCTCTCTCTCTCTCTCTCTCTAAGTAAATAAATAAATAAATCCTTTAAGTGCGCCTGGCTGGCTTGTTTAGTAGAGCATGCAACTCTTGATCTCAGAGTTGTTAAGTCTGAGCTCCATGTTGGGTATAGAGATTACTTTAAAATCTTTAGGGGCACCTGGATGGTTAAGTGTCTGGTTCTTGATTTCAGTTCAGGTCTTGATCTCACGGTGGTGAGTTCAAGCCCCACACTGGGTTCCATGCTGGGCATGAAGCATACTTAAAAAAATTAAAAAATAAAAAATAAAAATAAAAAAAATTTTTTTTAAATAATAATTCTTTTAAAATATGCATTCTTGGGGCACCTGGGTAGCTCATATTGAGCTTTGGACTTCAGCTCATGTCATGATCTCGCGGTTTGCAAGTTCGAGCCCCGCATCAGGCTCCGTGCTGACAGTGTGGAGCCTGCTTGGGATTCTCCCTCTCTCTCTCTCTCTCTCTCTCTCTCCCTCCCTCTGTCTCAAAAAAAAAAAAAAATTAATGAAAAAGACTGCATTCTCAATGGGGTGATATCACCCGCAAGAGAGTGAAAACTCATTCTTCAGGGGTGAAAAAACTTCATAGATATTATAATGGTTTGTGGCCCTCCAAAGGGCCACAGTACATAAAGATACATTCAGTCTATCTGGGGTATTCAAATTTCATTTGTGGTGAGAGGCAATTTAAAAAATGTCTAAAAAGGCCTTAGAGAGACAACTTTTTTTTAAACAAAAGTTGAGAGTAACTGCTTTAAAAGTAACATTTTATAGCATACAAGAATTGCATTCGGCTGTAGTGACAGAAATCCAGTTACAATAAACAAGTATTTTTCTCACATGAGAAGGGGGTGAAAGTGGCAAGGGGGCACTGGTAGTTGATGACTTTGCTTCAGCAGCTCAATGATGTCAAAGTAGAATTTTCTGTGGGTCTCCTGACTCATGCAAAGATGGCCACACAATTCAAATTACCTGGTCCCACATTCCAGATAGCAGGAAAAAAGAGCTGTCAAGAAAAAGATACATCTCCTAGCTGAGGCAGGTGCCCTTTAAAAAGCTTTACCCAGAAGTTTTTTGGGTTTTTTTAAAAAAAATTTTTTTAACATTTATTCATTTTTGAGAGTGAGACAGCACGTGAGCGGGGGACAGGTAGAGAGAGAGAGGAAGACACAGAATCCGAGGCAGGCTCCAGGCTCTGAGCTGTCAGCACAGAGCCCGACGCGGGGCTCGAACCCATGTACCATGAGATCCTGACCTGAGCCAAAGTTGGACGCTCAACCGACTGAGCCATCCAGGTGCCCCTACCCAGAAGTTTTACTGGAAGATGTCCCCTTACATCTCAGGGATGACACCTATCTTCAAAAAAGGCTAGAAATGGAAATCCAACCTCTCCAAAAGAGGTCAGGAAGTAAGGAAGAAGGGGAGGATGCTGGGTGGCTAACTAGCTGCCTCTACCACATACGGATTAGAGTCTCTCTTACATCCTACTTACAGAGCTCTGTAAGATATCGCTACGGAGATTAATTCTGTGCCTACCATTTGCTCAATATTCCTAAAGGTCAGTTTATTTTCCCCTGAACATAAAATTCTTATTTTGAAAATGCAGAGTGAGAGTATAAATATTAGGCAAAAGATACAGATGAACTCCATGGATATACACAGAGACATACATAAAACGCATACATAACAATACTACACCAGAGGGGCACCTGAGTGGCTCCGTCAGTTAAGTGTCCAACTTTTGACTCGGCTCAGATCAGATCTCATAGCTGTGAGATCGAGCCCTGATTCGGGCTCCTCACTGGGCGTGAAGCCTGCTTAAGATTCTCTCTCCCTCTTTTTTTTTTAATTTTTTTTTTTTTAACGTTTATTTATTTTTGAGACAGAGAGAGACAGAGCATGAACAGGGGAGGGTCAGAGAGAGAGGGAGACACAAAATCTGAAACAGGCTCCAGGCTCTGAGCTGTCAGCACAGAGCCCGATGCGGGGCTCGAACTCACAGACCGCAAGACCATGACCTGAGCTGAAGTCGGACGCTTAACCTACTGAGCCACCCAGGTGCCCCTCTCTCTCCCTCTTCTTATGCATCCCTGTCCCACTCGCTAGTGTGCACAGGCGTGCTCTCTCAAACAAAAGCAAAACCAAAACCCACACCAGGACCCACAAACTCTTTGACGTGATCAATTACCATCTTCAATATACAAAAGAAGATAAAACAAATCCCGGCTGAGCCAGAACTTACAAGAGTGGAATATCAGTGATTAACTGCATCAAACAACAGAGCAATTCTTCCAAAAGATCTTCAGAGTCAGAACCTGGTAAGACACATAAATGGTTTTTTAACAAAGCGTAAAACAGAATTGAGCTTTTAGTTCAGTCTTCATTTCTAATAAGAATAACAACAGTTATGATTACACAAAGTCAGATGCTGTATGTTGACCTCTAATAAAATCCGAACCATGAGCAAGTTAGCACATACTACGATCTTCATCTAGTATAGGAATTTTGAACGTTAGCTATTAAGTATGTAACTTTTAACACATCAAAGTCTCTTATGGTTCTGTAGGGTAGCAGTTTTCAAATCTCTTATTTTACACCATGTTGTTTCATATAAAATCTTACACTACAGTGAAATATATAAAATAGACCAAAAAATCAAGCTGCTCTAGCTACTTTGTTTGCATCATGAGTAGAATACCTATACTTCTTCCCCCCAGTAAACACGTGACCAAACGCTGGATCTCCTTGATGGGCCCCAGAGCACCGTTCTGAACCCGTGGGGCTCCACAGATCACAGACCGAAACCCACCAAGAGGCCAACCACCCCTTTACAAGTAAAGCGCCAAAGGTAAAATGGCTTTCCTGAGTCCCAGAGGAAGTGGCAATGGTAGGATGCAAAAGAAGCATCCAGAAGAAATGCTCCTCTGTCCCAAACTGCTCTAAGCGACCATCTCATTTCCAAAGTCAATCAAATCAGCAGCTCACGTGACTTCTGGCTGTGGATGCTACTGACACCTACTCCTTCACAGAATTCTTTCCCCCCTCAGGTCCTACGACACCTGATTTCCAATCTAGTTCTTTTTCTATTCGTTCTCAGGATCCACTTCCTTAGCATTTCTGTGGACTACTGCGGTGTTACTGGCTTCCTCTCTTCCGGCTCCCTATGTCCTCCTTCATCAACCATCACTTACACACGGGTGATTCCTACACCTGCACTTCTCCTCTTGGCCTCGCCACTGAACTGCTTATCTCTACATCCAATGGCTTACTGGCCATCTCCACCTAGATGCTTCAGTAGTACCCCAACTCCGTGTGTTCAAACCTGACCCCATCGTTCCCAATCCACCTATTCTTTCTACTTTCTTCTGGTGACTGCATCAAGAAGCCAGGGCCAAACCCAGACTATGCTCCCGTAGCTTTCTTAACCAATCTCTACGTCCACTCTAGGCAGGCACAGCCTACCTCTCTGACGGTTCCTCTTTTCTGCACTCCTCGTCAGGCTTCTGTTACTTCATCACCTCAGCTCAGTTAAACCAGCTCACTAAACTCAAACTCACTCCTGATCTTCTTTCAACTCCCACCTTCAATTTTCCTCCTCTCCAACCCAGACTCCAGCCTGCTGCCAGACAGAGCTAACCCAACTCCTTCCTTTCTCTCTCCTGGCTTACTTCCTTTCAACTACTTTAAGCTGAACACGAGGCATGAGAAAACACTCCACGTGCAAAAGTACCGCATGCCAGACGCTTCAAGACACGGGCCCTGTACCCCTTTCTACCATGACCCCTCCCCATTATTCACAATTTATACTCCAACAACAACACAACTTATATTCAGACCAAATCGGCTACCTGCAACACGCCATTTCATGCCTCCTCAACAACATTCCCTCTGCCGAGCCTGCCCTCCGACGATAAAAACCTGACTTTTTTAAGGGCCAATTTTTAACCATCTGGATCCTCCACGGCCTTCCTCTCCTCCATAAAACCCAACTCTCCTGCCTCACTCTGAGTAAAAATAATCATCTACAAAGCACCTTGCCTCATGCATGGGTCTTTCACTGCATGTGTTGGTTACATTATGCCCTGATTCCTGCCTCTATGTGGGAAGGCTCCTCCTGGACTCTGTGACTTCTCGAGGATGAGGACTGACAAAGAGCTTCACACACACACCATGTACACTAAAGACATGTCTGCTGAACTAAATTAACCCAGGCGTCTAGGAGAAACTAGTGGTTATTTCTGAGGCATCAGCGCACTTGGAGCTTCAAAGTTTAGCAATTCTTTTTCCTAGACCACCATATGACCTGGTACTCAGAAATTATGAAGAAATTCCTTCCTGCCTTGCTACAAACACAACTGGAACAGTAACCCTCTGAGAGGTAAATGCAGAACTTGAAGAAAATACTAAATCACACTGACCACAACGATCAGTGCTAAAAAGAACACACAGCAAGAATCAAGTTCAACAACTACCTTAAATCTATTCGAGCAGTGCCAGGCTTAGCTCAACTAGTGAAGAAAGTAAAATTTGGAGATATGTAACACTGGTCTCTGAGGCTGCACCACAAAAAGTACACATAACTAAAATCCTTCTCATTGCAAAAGCCGTCCAACATAACCCAAGTGAGCCAATAACCTACTCCAAGTTGATTTGCTGGCATACAATCTATACCCAATTCAAGCTTGCTGGAATGTCATTTGCTGGCTCATCCTACAGAACGGAGTGACACAGACCCAAGTAAGGACATTTAAAATCAATCATTGATTCCCTGAAGAACATTTCAGACCAAATCAGCAGGCCACTCGAACGGTGTCCCCTGTTCAGCCAAGTAGTCAGCAGTCTGTTAATTACAGAATGTGAGGGAACAAATGCTGAGGACCCACACATGGTTGGATTTTTTCCTTTCAGGGGTATAAACACATCTCATTCTCAACTCTTAACACCCTGAGGAGGACTTTGTATTCTATGTCACGTGCCATCCAAATCCTGACTTCGGCCAAGATTACAGCGTAGGTCAATTAAGGAGTCTATTCACAGCTTTGTCATCAACCTACCAATGAAAATGACGATAAATACATTTCATGCAAGTGAAATGTACCATTTCAAGGCCAAAACTCTAACAGAAGACAAGAATAAGCAATTTCCAGGTGAAATCTCAGAAAACTTCCACTTCCTAAAACAAAATATCCCTACAGAATACCATATTCTTATGTCTGGGACTAATCTAGAAGCAGATAATTGTGTATCAAGTGAAGATGGACAAGATCTGACTGCTTACCAGATCTGATGTCCAAGCAGTGTTTCTATCACTCAGCTTTCATTTGAGGCCAAATATCTTCCTTAGTGCCAATAAAAACAAGTAGATATAAACTCACCTGCCAAAAATTATAGTAACACTCATGCATTTCTCACAGGAAAGAGAATCTAGAAAGCCCTTGAAATCTTCAAGTCAGTGGCAAAGTAAATTGAAGTTCTATGAGCGAAGGACTTTGAAGAGATTCAGTGTGTTTACTATATTGTGAAGTTTTATACCCAGAGTTTTTCTCTCTTAAAGAGTTTTAAATTGCCTCTTACAGCTTCAGTCAAATAGGCTCATATTTTCAATGTTAGCTTCTCTGAGATAACATTCATAGCTAATATTTACTGAGTACTCTACCCTTTGAGAGGCACTGTGCCAAGCATTTCATTCCTTATTCCACATTAATCCTGACAATAGCTTTTTCTGTTTCTTAAGATTTTATTTTTATGTAATCTCTACACCCAACATGGGGCTTGAACTCACAACCCTGAGGTCAAGAGTTGTACAGCCCACCAACTAAGCCAGTCAGGCACCCCCCTGCCTGATAATAACTCTTCAGAAGTAGATATAATCATCACCATTGTATTACAGACAAAGAAACCAAGGGTCAGAGAGGTCAGTTTACTTACAGTAAGTGGCAGAGACTAGATTTGAACCCAAATCCAGACGGACTCATAGAAAGAAAAACAAAAACAAAAACAAAAACAAACAGAAACAAAAACATTATGAATGATTTTTAAAGACCTGTTTCTACACAAAGTTGGAAAAAACCTGGTCCAACAACCCATGATTCACTGAAGACCCTAAATACAAACCCCTGGTAAATGAATGAGGGGAGAGATATGAAATACCCTGTGTTAGGTACACATGAAAGTGATATGTTACACATTCATGAACGCATACTAGAAGTCTTTGACTTAAATATCCCATTTAGAAGGGCACCTGGGTGGCTCAGTTGGTTGAGTGACCAACTCATGATCCCAGAGTCGTGGGATCGGGCCCCGCGACAGGCTCCACACTATGGAGTGTGCATAAGATTCTCTCTCTCTCTGCTCCTCTCCCCTGCTTGTGCTCACTCTCTAAAAAAAAAAAAAAGAAGAAGAAGGAAGAAAGAAAGAAAAAATAGGGAATGCCAACTGGTGCAGCCACTCTGGAAAACAGTATGGAGGTTCCTCAAAAAATTAAAAATATTAGACACAGCAATTGCACTACTAGGTATTTATCCAAAGGATATAAAAATGCTGATTTGAAGGGGGCACGTGCACCCCAATGTTTATAGCAGCACTGTCACCAATAGTCAAATTGTGGAAAGAGCCCAAATGTCCACTGACAAATGGGTAAAGAAAACATGACGTGTATATATCTACATACAATGGAATATTACTCAGCAATCAAAAAGAATGAAATCTTGTCATTTGCAACAACATGGATGGAACTAGAGGGTATTATGCTAAGGGAAATAAGTCAGTCAGGGAAAAACAAATATATGATTTCAAGAAACAACACAGATGAACATAGGGGAAGGGAAGGAAAAATAAGACAAAAACAGAGAGGGAGGCAAACCATAAGAGCCTCTTAAATACAGAGAACAAACTGAAGGTTGCTGGTGGGGTGTTGGGTAGGGCGGTGGGCTAAATGGGTGATGGGCATTAAAGAAGGCACTCGCTGGGCTGAGCACTAGGTGTTGTATGTAAGTGATGAATCACTAAATTCTACTCCTGAAACCATTATTATACTACATGTTACTAATTTGGGTTTAAATAAAGTTAAAAATTAAAATTAAAATTGAAAAGAGAAAACTACCTAAGTTAGAAATAACCTCAAACAATGAATAAATAGAAACTGTTATTGTGAGTATTATGCAGAACAAGGCCACTGAAATCCTACTTCTATACCAGGGGTTCCCCGTTTTGAAGCCCTAACCCTGCTTCTCTGGTCGCTATGAGTGACGCCAGGGGAAGGAGCAAAGACCAGATGACAGCCACGGTCCCTTCCAACTCCAGGCATCTCCACTTG